GAAAATAGACGGTTTAAATTAATTCTCTACAAAAAAAGTCGAATAAAAATAGAAAATCCATCTAACTCTTTCCTAATGTATATTTGTCTCAATCCATTAATTATTTAAGACAAAAAATTGTACCTAGAAAAATAAATAAAGAATTTGTGCATAGTAAATTTATTAGTTAAGTTCTCAATTCTAATTGTAGTAAATCATTGCAAAATCAATTTCATTTATATCTGAATTAATATTTTTAATTTTTATATTACAATACAATATTTGGTTATATTAACATAGATACTATGTTTTTTTAATTTTTTTTTTAAATTTTATTCTCATTAAATTAGTATTCTATGTAAATTTTGTGGGTATATTTTATTTTTTTAATCCGACTTTGCATCGTGATATTTGATCTAAATCATGTAATTATCTAATATTTGTATTTAGAGATGGATATTGGGGTGATAGAGTGTGGTCTTGATCTAGAAAATTTGAATTTTCTTATTGTTTATGTATATATTTTTTATATTTTTTGTTAATGATCTAATTTTATATCTTTTGAAATTTTGTAATTTTATACCCTTAAATTTTTAATATAAAATTTTAAATTCTTACCGCTTAACAGAAAATCTTACGCCAACCCATGTTTGTAGGTGTATATACTTACAATTAGAAAATATTCTTAAAAGTAATATTTCATCTAAAATACGTGTAGTTAAATTTTCATCTATTTAGATTAGTAATATGGATTAAATAAAATAAGAGTTAATTGCATCACACGTCCTTCAATTATGACTCTCATTCTAAATTAATCCTTAAACTTTTGAACATTTCAAATTCATCCCTAAACTATAACAATCATTCTAGACTAGTCCTCAAACTTTTGAGCATTTCATTTTAATACCCAAACTATGATCTTCGTTCGAAATAAGTCTCTAAACTTTTTGAACATTTCAATTTCATCCTAAACTATATGTATATACTAATCGCATCCCTTGTTAATAAAATCGTTGAAACTAATTACATATTTGGATGAATTAGAAGATTCAAAAGTTCGAAGACCAATTTAGAATGAGAGTCGTAGTTTGGGGATGAAATTAGAATGTTCAAGAGTTAATTTACAATGAGAGTTTTAGGGTGAAATAGAATGTTTAAAAGTTTAAGGATCAATTTTATAAACAAATAAATATGGTATTTGATTCCAATAAAAATGGTAAAAGAATAATATGGATTAACACAGCTCCTACAATAATTAATATTCAAAATTAAATTAATAATTTTAATTATAACAAAAATCAATTTCCCATTTTTTTATCCCTATATAACAGACATTGGTCTTTCCTTCGTCTCTTCAGTCTTCTCTGAAACTGTACTCTCAAGTTGTTTCTTTCCTTAGGAAATCAAAATATCATCAACGTCATGGCACCAAATGGAGTCGTCTCCGACAACACTTCAATCGTGAGCTTCGGTGAGATGCTCATCGACTTCGTCCCCACAATCTCCGGCGTTTCTTTAGCTGAGGCTCCAGGTTTCCTCAAAGCCCCCGGTGGAGCCCCAGCCAACGTCGCGATCGCCGTCTCAAGACTAGGCGGTAAAGCATCCTTCGTCGGAAAACTCGGCGACGATGAGTTCGGGCACATGCTCGCCGATATTCTCAAGCAAAACGGAGTCTCCGGTGACGGGATCTTGTTTGACGAAGGCGCTAGAACCGCTCTGGCGTTCGTAACTCTACGCGCCGATGGAGAGCGTGAGTTCATGTTCTATAGGAATCCCAGCGCCGACATGCTGTTGAAACCGGAGGAATTGAATCTTGATCTCATCAGATCCGTAAGTCACATTATCATCTTTTTTCCTTCAACTCTGCAAATCGTTTGATCTCCTTTCTTCAATCTTGACTTAAAGAACCAAAAAAATAACACTGATTCACACGCGCCGTAATGCGAGAGTAGAGTTTCAAATAAGACTGACATGTCAGCCACCTAGCCTATATTATTATGATCCATAAGTGTTTACGGGACCCACCCTGTGCATCTAGGAACAAAAAATTGTCATTCTTATTCTTTACAACTACAGCAACTGATATTATAACCCATCGGTGAGGTTACTGCTGACGTAACAGTGTAGTTTTCCTTTATTATTTATTCATTCATTGGACTATAATCTGATTCTGAAAATATGATTACTTTCCCATCTAATGTGACGTAACAGTGTAATAGGAACGGATGTAAATTTTGCAGTGTTTTGTGGGTTTATTTATTATTATTTTTTATTAATTCGAGATAAATACATTATTTATGATAAGTCTATTTATTAAAGAACACTTTTAATCATTTGACATTAAATATTTAAATTCGAAACATAAATGAATAATAACAATTTTTTCCTACTGTAATCACTTGGCTCGTGCAATTTACTTTAAATAACATTAATTACAAATTAAACTTCTTAGGCCACTGTTAATCCAACCATATTGTCCAGTCACGTGGGTTTATATGATTGTCTCTAGGGGTGTAAACAAGCCGAGTCGAGTTCGAGTGTTGCTGAACTCGAAAACTCGGAAATAGAATTCGACTCGAAAACTTACGAGTTTAAAATTTTCAAGCTCGACTCGAATTCGAAATGTTGAACTGAAGCTTGTGAGCAGCTCGAAAAGCTCTAAATGAAGAAAAAAATTCTTAAACTTAATTCGATTAAAGCCTCAAACTCGAACTTGAACTTTAAAAACATAAAAATCTTACTCTATTTAAAAAAAAAATCAATACATAAATGTTAATATTATTAATAATTTATTTTAAAATATAAAATCTTAATATATTATATTTTCGATCTTCTCACGAGCTTTTCGAGTCGAATATCAAGTAGTTCGTTTCGGCTCGTTAAGAACTCGAGTCGAGCTCGAGTTCGAATTCATTCGATCCGAATATTTATTGAACCTTAATCGAGTTGATCTCGAGTAACTCACAATCTGTCTCATCTCATTTACGGCTCTAATTGTCTCCAGATGAGTCCAAAATCATCAACGTCTATTAATCCCACTTTATCACGTGAGTTCACGTGTTTAGTTTGTCCGTATTATTATTTTTTTAAATAATTTAGATGATTATAATGTTATTCTTTCATTAGAATTTTAGTGCATTGTTTAGGGTTTGTTTTTGTGCAGGCCAAAGTGTTCCATTACGGATCAATAAGTTTGATCGTGGAGCCATGCAGATCAGCTCATTTGAAGGCAATGGAAGTGGCGAAAGAATCCGGTGCTTTGCTCTCATATGATCCAAACCTTCGGCTGCCGCTTTGGCCTTCAGCCGATGAAGCAAGGAAACAAATATTATCCATCTGGGATAAGGCTGATATCATCAAGGTCAGCGACGTCGAGCTAGAGTTCCTCACTGGTAGCGGCAAAATCGACGATGAAACCGCTATGAAGCTTTGGCGCCCCAACTTGACACTGCTCTTGGTCACCCTGGGTGAAAAGGGTAGCAGATATTACACCAAGGTATGCTAACTATAAGGTTTATATATAAAGAAGTAAGCATAGACTAGACCCTCTCTCTGAAATTTCAAATTTTTATAACCGTTCCTGATTTTATGGTCAGAACTTCCATGGGGCAGTGGATGCTTTCCATGTGAATACGGTGGATACAACTGGGGCTGGGGACTCCTTTGTAGGTGCTTTGCTGTGCAAGATTGTACAAGACCCAGCCATACTTGAGGTATAACCCATTTTTTTAATATAATGATTGGTTTTATTTTCTTTTTAATTCTAAATGTTTTTATTTTATTTTAACTTTAAAACCAGAATGAATCAAAATTAAGGGAGGTACTGATATTCGCGAATGCATGCGGGGCAATAACGACGACCAAAAAAGGAGCGATCCCAGCTCTTCCGCTGGAAGCCGAAGCGCTTGCCTTGATCAATGGTGCTTAGGATAATCATTTGCTTTTTTAGAGCATTTTTCAAGTTTTTTTGTTTTCTTTCTTTCATGTGCCTATGTAAAAGCCTTTGTGATTTTCGAAGGGCCTAGGAATAGGAATAAAACAACTTTTTTGTTTTCATAATAAAAAAAAATTAAACTTAATAACATATTTGAAACTTCAATACATCATTACAATATCGACACATTATTTAAATACTTATTAAAATATTCTAATTAAACAACATATAAGTTTGTTATTGTAATTTTTAAATAATAATAAGCTTAAAAAAAACCTTGGGTAAAATACACAAGTGATTACCGATTATAGGTTATTGTTTTGTTAAGTTTTTTGGTTATTAAAATTTACAAAATAGCCCATTGATTATAAGATAATTGTTTTGTTAAGTTCTTTGACTATTAAAAGTTACAAAATAGTTACTCAATTATTTATATGTTCCAAATGCGTCATTTTATTTCTGTTATAAAATTGACGATAATTTGAGTTTGGATATTATATCTCAAAATATAACTTCAAAATCTCAAACGACTATCATATCTCAGTCAATAACGAAAAAAGACGAGTTTAAAATATATAAATAGTCGGATGATCATTTTGTAACAATCATAGTCGAGAGAATCAACCAAACACAAATATAAATGTAAAAGTAATTAGTTTAAAGTAAAAAAGTAAAAGAGAATGATAACTAAAAAGCACGAATCTTTAGGGTACGTTGATATACGGGATGCATAATTCACATATTTGATAGCTTACAGTGCTTTGAATGATATCTTCCATTGATTAAGAGGTCGGAAAAATCTAACACGGACTTGATTAATATATGTAATCCATAAAATAACTGAAGAAATTTCGGATTTCAGATTAGGCAAGTAGATGTGCATCCGCCACTGCATATTCGGGTTTATGTCAACAATGGATATAAAACGTAACACAAACTAGAGTAACATAGGTTCATATTGACATACTGTTCCCATAGTCTGCAGGTAAATGCAAGAAAATACTAACCCGTGAAAATGCATTAATCACTCTCTCATGACAGATTGTTGTCCGTTGCATTCTTAATCTCTCTCATCTGGATTTGAATATAGTGTTGGATAATCTAAGCAGTTACTATGCAGAATGGAACGGTGACCTGCCGGAACTAGGGTTTAATTGGCTTTCGAGTAGACCATTTTCTATTATGAAATCGCTTGTGGGTAGCATTCGGTGACCTCCATTTCCAAGGAGCTCCAAGTTTGTTTGCATCTTCCCCTTTTCGACTGCAAGCGAGCCAAAAACGACTCTGCCCATGGCTCATTGCTCCCTCTCATGCTCAGTTCATAGGGCACTGAAAAACTGTAAAACAGATTTTGACAGAAACAAATGGATATCATGATGTAGTCTTCAATATAAGATACATCAGGAAACAAAAGAAATGCAAAGTTCTATCAGATGTGTGCCACTGTCGTTTAGGGGGCAACGAAAGATGTAGCTTTACAAGAATTTTCAACTATAACAGTTGGAACTTTTTGAACCGGCAGTCACTAGGGTTAACTATAGCAAGCTTCACTCCCCAAACCTTACACCACCCCAAGGTGGCACGGAAAAAGTAACGGTGCCTCTCCTCTCCCTCGAAAGAAAAACAAAGAAAACGAAGAATGTAATTTCTGCCTAAGAGGAGACTTACCTACAGACTCGAAACATGTTACATCAACGAACTTACCTCATTAGTTCCTCCAGATGTGATTCTTTATTGGACGTACTTTTCCTGAAAAAAATCAAAATTTTGACGAGAACAAACAATTAACTATATGTATGTATGTATATATATATATTTTTTTTGGGGGTAGGGGGTTCAGAATTCAAGGAACATGTTTCCTCGAATCTGATTCCTCGATATCCTATTAGCTACTTCAATTTTTTCTCTTGAATTGACACTGAAACTTCCATTCAATTTCATGCATTTCTTTGTATGCTTTGGGATTTGAACTTTTGGGACCGGATCAACCTTCTTCCTTCACATGATGAAAAGGCAATTTCCAGAAAACATAGCTAGGAATTTTTACTGAGAAACAAACAAATTCCAGCATGTACTCAGCCGTAATTGGCTGTTGTTTGAGCAATTGGTGGTCCCTCATTTCTATATTGAAGTCAAACAATCCAAAGACAAGAGGAAATGGAAGAACAAACCTCGATACCAAAATTTTGTAGATATGAAGAAATTTGGTGGAAAGGTTATATATAGCATCTCCGATATGGTCCTTTCTAAACAAGTACACTACTGGGTAACCTAGAAGCCATCTGCACCAGAATAGAATCCCTAGAATTATAATACGTAGAAATATATATGGTACCCCAAATATAGAAACCACCAAAAGCAAATCGACATGGTTTTTGTAAAATTATAAAGTCTACTGGTTTATATTATGTCTTTTTTTCTTTTAGTTGAGATACATTGGCAAGTTGCTTATGTAAGAACTTAGAAACAGAGAAAATTGCCCGAGCTAGATAGAGCCGCCAACTCCTCAGTGCAGACAATCCATTTTGGACCACATTTAGATGGCCATAATCAAAATTTTGTACTTGAAGGAATTGCAGATAGAATTGTCAGTTCTCTATATAATACATTTTTCTTGAAATGCATGTACTCAACATCTGCATCCGCCATATATATGGGTATGTGTATAGGAATATGAACTTACAAGGATACTTGAAATATATGGAAAAACTAGGAAAAAAATGAGCATACCTGTATCAGACACATTTATATCCAACAATTTGCACCTGAATCAAAATTATAGTTTTTTTTTTCATATTTCATCGTCTAAGTTATTTTTATACCATTCAAAATGTCCTGATTGAAAAGAACTCTAAATTTTTTTTATAAAGTAATACGCATTATATTCTGTTAATTTTAAGATTTTATTTAATAAATTTAAAAATAAATTATTATATTTAAAAAATTATTTTTAAAAAAAAAGTCAGTCCCCTCTCTTCCGCCACTCCCAAGCCTTCTTCTCCTACCCAGCCCCCTCCCGTCCCTCCTCCCCTTGCCCCTCTCACACTTCCTTCCTTCCGGCCCAGTCGCCCCCTCCCCTAGCCCCTTCCCGTCCCCCATTCTTCATTTCCCTTTGTCTCCTTTTACTTAATATTAGTATTTGGTAACAACAATCAGAGTGACTAGTGACGGTGGTTGTGTCATCGGGTGCTGTGTCTTTGGTGAAGATTCGATCAGATGAAGGTTCAATCGACGCTAATCGTAGTGTCCTGTGTGGATATATGGATTAAAATAAATGTTTTGAAAGTTTTAAGGTTTTTTTAAGATTTTCAAAAATTTTGAATTTTTTTATAAGAAAACATATTTTAAAGTTTTTTATTTTAAATAAAATCTTCATAATTATTAGAACGTGACACATGTAACTTAACGGAAATTTTTAACGATTGTCATTGAAAAATGTCTTAAACTCAACCAATCTAGCCTAGAACCATTCGGTTTATTTTAAAATTAAATCATAATACTAAATTTATCATTGATATTCCTTTAAAATAAGGAACCTAAAATTTAAATTTATATCATAATAAAATTCATAATTTTTTGATATATGATATTATTATTCTGCAATATTTTATTATATTTATAATATTAATTATAAATTTTCAATATTTATAAATTTAAGGTTATACACTTATGGTGTTTATAATCATAGTATAAATTATTTATTTATTGTAGTTTACTCTAATAATAAATTTTTGTAGTTTATACTAAAATAAATAGTTTACTAAATATAAACTACTTAAATGATAATGGAAGTAAGAGTAAGTTTTTGTTTTTGTTATTGAAGTTTTTAAAGTAACAAAACAATCACTAATATTATCGTTTTATAATAAATCAATCACTCAACCCTTAACAGTTATTATTGTAGTCACCTAAATATAATGTGGCACGTTTGGACGACTGAGTTGGAATTGTTTGGTCACGTTGACGCCCTTTTTACCAACCACTTTAAGGTTGTGTTTGTTTTTACAGAGGTAAAAGGTCTGCAGTCTGTGGACCACATCTGCAGGCATCTGCAGCAGAAGAAGTGGACCAAATGTCTGCAGTCTGCAAGAAGAAGACTGTTTGTTTTTTAACATCTGCAGACTGCTAAAATGAACTGAAATATAAATAAACTGATTTTTTAAACTTAAAAGAGTTTTGCAATACTGAGATTTAAATAATTTTAGTTTTACAATACTGAAATTTAAATAATTCATAAAACTACAATAATAAATTATTTAAAATAAATCAATCCATATTTTAAAATAAATCAATCCATACTAATAAAATATTTAAAATAAATCAATCCATACAACTACAATAATAAATCAATCCATATTTTAAAATAAATCAATTCATACTAATAAATTATTTAAAATAAATCAATTCATATTTTAAAATAAATCAATCCATACTAATAAATTATTTAAAATAAATCAATCTATACAACTACAATAATAAATCAATCCATATTTTAAAATAAATCAATTCATACTAATAAATTATTTAAAATAAATCAATCTATATTTTAAAATAAATCAATCCATACTAATAAATTATTTAAAATAAATCAATTCATACAATTACAATAATAAATCAATCCATATTTTAAAATAAACCAATCCATACTAATAAATTATTTAAAATAAATCAATCCATATAACTACAATAATAAATCAATCCATATTTTAAAATAAACCAATCTATACTAATAAATTATTTAAAATAAATCAATCCATATTTTAAAATAAATCAATCCATACTAATAAATTATTTAAAATAAATCAATCTATACTAATAAATTATTTAAAATAAATCAATCTATATTTTAAAATAAATCAATCCATACTAATAAATTATTTAAAATAAATCAATCCATACAACTACAATAATAAATCAATCTATATTTTAAAATAAATCAATCCATACTAATAAATTATTTAAAATAAATCAATCCATACAACTACAATAATAAATCAATCCATATTTTAAAATAAATCAATCTATACTAATAAATTATTTAAAATAAATCAATCCATATTTTAAAATAAATCAATCCATACTAATAAATTATTTAAAATAAATCAATCCATACAACTACAATAATAAATCAATCCATATTTTAAAATAAATCAATCCATACTAATAAATTATTTAAAATAAATTATTTAAAAATAAATCAATCCATATTTTATAATAAATTATTTTAAAATAAATTATTTTATAATAAATTATTTTAAAATAAATAATCTTATTAAATTATTTAAAATTATTTTAATAAATAACCATATTTTATAATTGTTCTTGAAGAGGTTTGAAGACCTTTGAAGACATAAAACCATGTCTGCACCAAGAAGAGCTCGCGCAGACGTTAGAAGAGCTTTTGTCTTCTAAAAAACAAACGGTCTGCGAAGCCTAATGTCTGCGCGTGGTCTGCGCGGCGCAGACATAAGAGATTTGAAGAGGTGGAACATTGAAAACAAACAAGGGCTAACTCTCACTTAAAAAGATATACATGCTTTGGCTCCTTTTCCTCCATCCACCAAACCATCCTTTCCTTCCTTGCTTGGTCTCTCCATTTTTAAAACCATTGGTTTCCTCGATAGGAATTTCCCTGGAATCAAAACAACTATTGGTTTCATTTTTCTCCATTTATACGACCATTGATTCCCTTCATTATAGTTGATTTTAGAGCATACATTGACCATGATATGTTTGTAATAATATTTGGTCCAACAATCGATGATATCTTTGTTGTATTCGATCATGTTGAATGGGAAGATGTTTATCAGATGTGTGTTGATGGATTCTTAGTTGTTGCTAAGATTTCTGCATGCCATCATCTTGAAGATGTACTGGATGAATTGGTTATGTCTTTTTACAAATTTACCACCCTTTTGAATCCATCATGGGTTATGGAACCAATGTTAGGTTTTGGTGATGACACCAAATCAAGAATGTCAACTATAACTGTTTCTACTATTGTAAATAGATATGGAGATTATTCAGACAAGTTGGAGGAATCTATTGGATTGCATCTTACGTTTGTACAAGCTAGGGCTTCTTCCATCTCGTGTAACCAGTGATGCAACTGATGAGTCAGTGCTCTTTGCAGATAGGCCCTTTTTAAAAGATGCATGCATAGATCATGTGTTACTTTTTAAAATGAGATCCCTAAAATATTTTATAATAAGGATTAGTTTGTCAAATTTGGAATTATGAGGGATCTATGAGATCTTTTTACCAAAATTCATCATGAAAAATGATTAAAGATACTGCTAATATCTTTATTTGTAACTTTCTCCGCTACTTCCCGGAGAACCATGTAACCCCCTCAGACCGATGCGGATAGCCCGATCCGATCTGGAGTGTCACATTAGGGCCACCGGAGTGACCCACCGTAAAAATAGCTGAAAATTTAAAAACTTTTCTTAAAACATGTAAACTCATAAAATCATTTATGAATAAAAAATAAAATTTATCAGCATTCGAAATAAAAACATATTTTCATACTCGTATATAAAACAAAATACAATTACATGCCCCCTAATCACATGTACCATACTCTGCAATCAACGCCGGAAGAACTCCCTTACTTAAGTCGATAGTTGCACTGGTACAATTCTTTTAACCTGCAATGGTGAGTAATAGAGAGCTTTGGAAAGCTCAGTAATATAGAACTACCAGATGATGTTGAAGAACGCGCAGATATATATAAACATATAATTTCTTATTGGTTCAGATATCTACAGATCTTTAGGCTGAGCTGAGGTCCCATTGATATCTCAGGTAGTAACAGATAGTATTCAGTTCAGATGGAAATATTTCGTATGTCTAGGTTCAGGAGATCAGAATAGGTTATCTAGTGTGTTCCCACAAAACCATGTAGTTTTTCAGATATTTTTTTAAAACATGTTTTTTTTAAAAATATGAACACTACCCTCATCCGTCACGAACAAAATGTGTAGGTTCCCAAGAACCATACAACCCCGTCACGAACAATAAGGCCCTGAGCACAAAGTCGAGGAACCTGTAAGTATTCAACCCCGTCACAAATAGTAAGGCCCTGAGCACAAAGCCGAGAAACTTGCAAGTATTCTTCCTCCAACAATATCCCCCAATAAAACATGTTCTGTCCGTAAACGAATATTTTAAAAATCAAAACATAATTCAGGTCAAGTATCAAATCAGAATTCAGGTCATGTATCAGATCAGAATTCATGTCAATATCAGATCAGAATCCAGGTCAGGTATCATAACAGAATTCAAATAGGAAATCAGATAAAATATTCAAGTGATTAGGGAACACACCAGAGTTTACAAATATTATTTAGAAGTATTGGATAATCTTGGCAGGAAGAGAAACACGGATCTTCGGTATACCGATAGAATATCGAAATTTAGAATCACTATTGGAAGAGTTCAATAACTGACAGAATCATCAATTATTCAGAATGAGACTTGAGCTGATAAAGAAGAAATAAAGGTTCAAGACATATACAGTATATGTCGATCTATCGGATTATCAAAATAACTCAAGC